TTCCCCAGCTAGGTTTGCAAAACAATGCTACGTGGTTAGTGATTTCTCCCCACGCACATTTAAATTAATTGTATTTATCTGAATTTCCACTCTACACACAACAGAGAGTTTACCTGTTTTCAAGGTCGTACTAGAAATGTCAACAGAGTGCAGTGTGTTAAGTGACACGAGTGAAGGCAATTAGATAAATGCATGTTCATGAGCAGTAACTGATGCCCCTAAATGAAAAATTTTATGAACTTCTAAACACAGCAAAATTGTAATTATTCTGAATTTTCCAGTTTATGATGACAGACAGTATTGATACAGTTGAAACACCTGTACTGTAGCATGACAAAAAAATAGAGCTTGTTTTGAAAGCAGTCTGTTCCTTTTGGTTTCCAGATGCACCAAAGAGGAAGCAGCAGGCTGTCCTGTGAATAGACTAGAGAGTTGGCCAACCTCATTGGCTTGGCTGGATAGACTAAAATATTTTAGTTTGACCTTGAACTGATAGGGTTCAAACTAATCTCTGCCTGTTCCATGCTGTATATTTTAAGCATTACACAGTATGGAGGTATCATAATCAAACCTTTACCATAAATCAACCATTAAAATAAGCACTGGCAGATGTGCCCAGAGACTAAAGAAATCAGAACAACTAAATGAGAATCAGGTAGTGAATCTAAATGGATGTTATTACATTCTGACCCTTCTCATTTGGTTTGACAGGAATCTCCAAGTAGAGACTCTGAGTGGAGTTGCTACAGACAGATGGTCAAATTCCCTCAGCCTGGCCTTCCCCACAGCAGCAGAAAGCCCTTGCAATGGAACTGCCTCGGGTACCAGCAGCTAAAATTAATATATGATTTTGAGGCAGAAGTTAGAGAAAGTTTTCATAGACCTGGCTTTGAAAACTATTAATAAGATTTTATTAAACCTGACGATGGAAATGTTCAACCTAATACACTCAGGATACTCTATGTGTTCCCACTCCAAGGAGCACTTTGATGCTGGCAGTGCAGACTTCTCCCTTTTTAATTGATGTTGATGTGGGAACATCTGTACTTCTCCAACTGATGGAAGAGGGCAGCAATTAATAATGAGAATAATCAATTTATAAAAGTAGGCAATATTGTGTGATTTTAAATCTTTAACTTGCCTACTGAAAATATTAATTCATCTGTAAACATACAAGTATAGGTTATATTGGGGTTGTCAAACTATAGCCTTTGACAACCTGTCTTTGCAAATAAAGTTTAATTAGACCATAGTCCTCCCATTTCTTTATCTATGGCTGTTTTTGCACTGCAACAACAGAATTGAATAGTTGTGACAGAGATCATGCCACCACAAACCCTGAAACATTAACTGGAACTTTACAGAAAAAGTGTGCAGAACCTTGGTCAATATCCACTTCTTTCAGAAATACCTTTTTTTTTTTTGCATAAAAGAATGTTCTTCTGTAGTTGTTAATGTTCTATTTCAACATTCATCTTAATTTTAGAATTTTTTTAAACCAAAAAAGAACCTCTAATTTAGTAAATATTTCTGAGTCCCAAAAAGTGGGTTTCAAGTTTTTCTCTTCTTTTCTTTTTTAAGAGTTGTTACTTTTCAAGTCAAACTCTGTCTGAAATTATTTCCCCATTTCAGCAGGATGCAGAGCGTGACATCCTCCGTGTCCCAGGGACGTACAGCATACATAATGCATGAATCTTCGGGAAGATCTGAGCCTTTGAATACACAATTACACTTTGGGCTTAAAATGGAAAGTGCCACGTTTGGAAGCAACTTGAAGTTTCCCAAAATATTTGTTTGCAGTTCTAATTTCAATAATTAACATAAGGATTAAAACACTTTTCTTATCTTCCAGTTCCAGCAGTGAGGTCAGCACCTCATAGCTACAGGGGAAAAAAATGCCTTTAGAGCTTCCCGAGTCAGAGCCAGCAATAACATTGTTCCAGTGGCAGGCCCTTCGCACGCAGGAGAGCTCTGCAGGCTGCTGAATTGATGGCCTGCACCTTGACATGGCGTGAGACATATTGTTTTCTCTCTTTTTTCCTGAATGCCCTATTCCAGGAGCCTCTGATGAGAGAAAAGGGAGAAGAAGCAGAATGTTCTTTTCATCTGTGTGACCATAAAAAACAGGGCAACTATGATTCTCCCTTTATGGTTTTCAGTCTTTTTCTATTTCTTTCTGCCCCAACTACTTAAGAGGGAAGATAAAACCACACATGTACAACCCCAGACTCTCCAACTTCTGGGCTCTCCACAGGCTGTTTTTTCCCCAAGCTTTCTTCCTGAAGCAGAAGTGAATCTGCAGCAGAGTATAAAGTGCAGTTTTGCTGTGGGAAGTTCTTTGAGCTTTGGCAATCCCTGGGAGCAGAAAGGCTCGGAAGCTGTTTTTTGGTTTTCATCTTTTACCTGTGTGTCCTTACCATTTACAAAAATGATAAATGTTAGTTCCAGGTGGCATTGCTAACTTAAAACAATCCCTTCCTCAAGCCTCAGATATGAAAGCTGAGTTTTACTTTTTCTCCCCCGATTATATGCAGGGGGATGATAGCTATGATGTCTGCTCTTCTGGCTTCCTGATATCAGATCAGTTCCTGGATCCCTTGAGATGAAGCAATGGGGTACACAATCAAGGAAAACAGGAACCATGTGGCATTTACAGATCGGCTCTGTTATCTGATCGGTTGTCAGTGTGAAGTGAGCAGCAGAGCTGCAGCATGGCAGAAGGCTGAATTAATGATGCACTCCATGAATGCCACTGGAGTGGAAGAGATACAGGTAGAACTATGAAATTTCGGGAGATGTGCATCTACCCATCCATGTGTCCATGTTGTCTTCGTCTTTTGGGGCTACTACAACAAAAACTGAGTAGCTTATAAGCAACAAACATTTATTTCTCACAGTCTGGAGTCTGTGAGATCAAGGTGCCAGCAGATATGGTGCCTGGCGAGGGCACATTCCTCATACACGGCATTTCTCACTGTGCTTCGCACGGCAGAAGGGAAGACAGGCTCCCTCACGCCTCTTCTGTAAGGGCACTAATCTCCTCTGTGAGGGCTCTACCCTCACAACCTAATCACCTCTCAAAGGCCCCATCTTTTAATACACACAGAAACGTTAATTTGAACAAAGGGTCCACTGTGCATCTAACCCTTCCTTAGTGGCTTATGTTAGAATATTTGAAGGTATTTCCTTACCTTAACCTCTCTCAGAATTGCTGCTTCCTAGTTTTGTTTTGATTTTATGCACTTGGCTTTTTCCAAGGTCTCTGAGGTAAACAGGTCCACTGTGCATCTAACCCTTCCTTAGTGGCTTATGTTAGAATATTTGAAGGTATTTCCTTTCCTTAACCTCTCTCAGAATTGCTGCTTCCTAGTTTTGTTTTGATTTTATGCACTTGGCTTTTTCCAAGGTCTCTGAGGTAAACACTCATTTGGATTCTATTTCTAGGTTTCCTTTGAAACTGTATTTTAAGGACATCGCCTTGCATTTTTCCATGGCTATTTATTAAGTTCTTATGTGCTGGTGGCTCTCCAGTTGTCCCTCAGATCCAGTCCCATCCTTCTCTGCTGTGTGCTTGGGAAGCTGATCCCTGGCCTGAACTGCTGGGCTCCATTGACTTCTGCCTTCCGTTGGGTTTGGCCAATGGACAGCATTGTCAGGAGCGTCAGGGAGGAGACCCCAGAGGTCAGGGTGCACCCCTGCCCTCTTGTGCTTCAGTTTGTCTGATTGTGGCCATTCTTTCTCCCTCCAGGACTGTAACTCCTGCCAGGCAACCCTCCTCCACAGTGTCAGCCTTCACTGAGCTCCAGTACTTCTTTAGCCTCCTGACTTCCTCTTGGAGCCTCATGATTATAAGAACTTGCTGCAGGTGTTAATATTTGGGTGCCCCAAATCCCTTATGGATTTCCTTAATAGTGCCCACCCTTCCCTACAGGAAAAAAAAAATCTGTTGCTATTGGTATTCGTCTGTTTTCTGTTGCTGATAACAGAATACCTGAAATGGGGTAATTTATAAATAAAAGAGGTTTATTTTCTATAGCTTTGGAGGCTGGGAAGTCCGAGGTCCTGGGGGCACATCTGGTGAGGGCTTTCTTCATGGTACAGAGTCCTATGGTAATGCAGGGGCATCACATGGCAAGAATGGCATAAGCCACCACTCCACACTCATGGTCATTTATTCATCCATCACCATACTAATAGACTAATCCATTCACGAAGGCAGAGCCTTCAAGATCCAATCATATCCTAAAGGGCCCACCTCTCATTCTGTCGGTATATTGGAATGGAAACAGGGTTGAAAAGAACGTCAGGTGTAAAGATGTGTCTGTAAACCTTGTACTAGTATCTGTCACTAGCTGAGTCTTCTGGCTACTGAGATCAGATAGTGAAGTATACCTGTAATAACTCCACTGTATATCTTTCGACCTCAAAAAAATGAATCCAGGGCCGAGCCCGTGGCGCACTTGGGAGAGTGCAGCGCTGGGAGCGCAGCAGTGCTCCCACCATGGGTTCGGATCCTGTATAGGGATGACTGGTGCACTCACAGCACTCACTGGCTGAGCGCGGTGCGGCCGGTCTCAAAAAGGACAAAAAAAATGAATCCAACCTCTGTGGCCTCATTGTATAGGTGGAGTTTTTTTGTTTTGTTTTGTTTTTTAAAGATGACTGGTAAGGGGATCTTAACCCTTGGCTTGGTGTTGTCAGCATCACACTCAGCCAGTGAGTGAACTGGCCATCCCTATATAGGATCCAAACCCGTGGCCTTGGTGTTATCAGCACCGCACTCTACCGAGTGAGCCATGGGCCGGCCCTGTATAGGTGGAGTTTTGAAGGGTTGAGTGTTTCTCAGTTTTAACTCATGGGTAGTACAGAATCTAGCCATCTTTTGATGGGCAAGGCGCTTCTATACACAGGAATCTGACTTTTAGCAGTAAATGAGAATTTCAGATTAGTTGTGGGGAGAATAATTGCTATTTTTCTTTTTTAATTAATATTAGGAAACTACAAGATCCCAGGATTATGACCACTCTCAGTGTCCTTCTCGGGGTCGATCTGGGTAGTATGGATGAGGAGGAAGAGATTGTAGCACCTCCACCACCACCTCCCAAAAAGGAAACCAAGCCAGAGCCAATGGAAGAAGATCTTCCAGAAAATAAGAAGCAGGTCTCATTTTCTTTTCTTCTCATTGTTATGTATTTATAAACAGCTAAGTCAACCAGAAATACATATGCTGAATGAGAATATCTGTAGTCCTTGGGTAGCTGTAATTTTTGAGTGCTTGGTATGTGCTAAGCTTGTTGTTGTCATTGTTAATTAAAATGGTTAACATGTTAAAAGATAAGCTTCACAAGAGATTTCCTAGGGATCATGTATTTTCAAGATTTTTGGCAGCAGAAGCTACCCTTCTGTAGTCACATTACAGCCGTATGGTGCTGCCAGGATCCAGAAGAATGTTGCCGACATCAGTCCTTAGGCTTCTGCTTCTCTGTTGGATGTGGCGTGTAGTTGAAAGTTGTCCACCTCAACACATCCAGAGCAGGAGGCATGTGCCTAAATGATCCCTTGTAAACGGGAACAGCAGATTGTTGCCAAATTTAGCACCTTTAAATAGGCAAGCGTTGGTTGTTCCGGGTGTCTCAAAGCTGGAAAAAGGCCCTACAATGTGGGTGGTAGTGAGCTTTGCTGAAGACTCCTGCCACCACTACAGCCCCTTCTCCTAATCCTCTCGCTACCCCCTCTGCTATAGTTTCCTGACAACTAAGACCCTGAGACAGCCACGTGACAGAAACCAGACTCACTACAGTCTCTCAGAATAAAACCTGGTGCAAAATTATATTGTCCTCACCAGTTACTTCAAGTTGAAGGAATTTTCTCTTTCCCCAAGGAAGCCCTCTGCTTTCTGACAAAGATCCAGGAGAAGGGGTGGAAAAGGGGGAGTTTCAGAGGAAGCAAAGCAAAGTTTTAATTCTGATGGCTGATACCTGACTTTTTTTTATTTTTTTTTAATCCTATATAAAGATGACCGGTAAGGGGATCTCAACCCTTGGCCTGGTGTTGTCAGCACCACGCTCAGCCAGTGAGCAAACCGGCCATCCCTATATAGGATCCAAACCCGCGGCCTTGGTGTTATCAGCACCGCACTCTACCGAGTGAGCCACGGGCCGGCCCTGATACCTGACTTTTAAGTCTGTAGCTGATTGATGAAGATGCCTTTGGATATGGAGGACTTGCTTCTATAGATAATGTTAATTGCAACTGCTATTTCAGTACCAGTGACAGACCATAGGCTTTTATTCTCTTTGCCATTTGGTTTGAATTTGCTCAGCACTCACTTCTTCCAAACCTTGTTTAGGCACTGAAAGAAAAAGAGTTGGGGAATGATGCCTACAAGAAGAAAGACTTTGACACAGCCTTGAAGCATTACGACAGAGCCAAGGAACTGGACCCCACCAACATGACTTACATTACCAATCAAGCAGGTGAGGCCCAAAGACAAGGGGCGAGAGAGTTGTTAGGCATTCTTGAGGGAAGAAGCAAGAACTGACTGTTCCTTCTTAACCATCCTGCCTTGCAGCGGTATACTTTGAAAAGGGCAACTACAATAAATGCCGGGAGCTTTGTGAGCAGGCCATTGAAGTGGGGAGAGAAAACCGGGAAGACTATCGACAGATTGCCAAGTATGCTCGCCCTTCTGGAATACCTTGAGTAGTGTGGAGGGTTCACTGTCTGAGACTTAAATTTCCCTGCATGGGGAGGAGGGTCCCTGCTGGCTGCAGAACCTGTTGTGTTAAAAAGGGGCTAGAGAGGAGGTCACAGGAACCAAGGCAGGAGGCAGCGATGCCGGCCTTGATTCTAGCTACAGGTGTGTTTTCCTCTGCAGGGGCTGACCTTGTCTGGCCCTGCCCTCAGCAGATCCTTTTCCTTCTTATCAGAGCTTACGCTCGAATTGGCAATTCCTACTTCAAAGAAGAAAAGTACAAGGATGCCATCCATTTCTACAACAAGTCTCTGGCAGAGCACCGAACACCAGATGTGCTCAAGAAGTGCCAGCAGGTGGGTAGGAAGAGAATAGGGGGTGTTTTCTTGTTTCTTAATGATTGAGTATCATTGCTTATTGTAATCATTATTCTTTAATAATGTACCTTAATTTTTTTTTTTAAAGTAGTGGCTTTGGTCATGTTGTATGATTCTGCCTGTGTCACTTAACAGTGATGCAGTGCATAAGAAATGATCTGGTTGTTTGCAGTCCTTTGTTATTGGCCAGGGTTTCAGCCTTAAATATGTTAATGTTGAGGGCCAGTAGTGCATTAGCAGTGTTACAGTTCTTTTTTTTTGTCTTTTTCCGTGTCCGGCAACGGATCGCAACCCTCAGTGTCGCCCCCGTACCGGACCAGGACCGGCAACGGGATCGCAACCCTCAGTGTTGCCCCCGCGCCTCGCTCAGCCAGTGAGCGGGAACCGGTCTGTATGTGGGATCCGAACCCTCGGCGGGAGCGCCTCCGCACTTCCCAAGCGGCGCACTAGCGCAGTGCGCCACCGGGCCGGCCCCTACTTGGGCATTTATAATGTTACAAAGTGACATTCCAGAACTAAAAATGAACAGGATTGCAAATTGTGAAAGAATAAACTCTAAAACACAGAAAAACTTTAGCATTGTTATTACTAATTATAGTGATCTTGATCATCATCATACTACAAATATGAAAGTGGATTGATTTATTGAACATATTATTTCTGAGCTTACCACTTTTTTCTTCAAAAATTTTTTTTAAACCACTAAACAGGAAAATAAATCTGTTTTAAAATGATAGATTTTTCCAGATTTTTTTTTACCGGAAATAACTATGGGAATATCATACCAACAATAATTTTAAAAGTATCCAATTAAATAGATAAAAATATATAACTTCAATCACACCTGATTTTAATGTATATTTGTTGTTTTTTTAAAAAACATTAGTTTAAATGTATTTTTTTCTTTTGTTCAGTTTTATCACAAACCACTTTAAATTTTAAATTTCTGTTTTTTGAAATGTAGGTAGAACTTTAACTAGCTTTGACTACTTGGGAGGAAACCTCAGAAGCAGGTACAAAGAAATTTTGTATTAGTGTGTGGAGGGAACAAGTGGAAGAAATTAAAACTGAATGAAGGCGTTTCACAAATTTCTAAACTTGGATATTTATCATATTTTCCTCCTGGCATTATGTCTTTGTATTTCATGATGACTTAATCAGAGGTTTTAGGGGAAATAATTTTTCTTTAAATACAGTTTCCATCAGGTCCCACTGTCTTTACGTGTCCTAACCCCTGCTCTGTTTCTCTTTCCATTAAGGTTCATTTATTTCATGCTAACCTTTAACTCTTTTTTTTTTTTTTTTGTCTTTTGTCTTTTTTTTTTTCCGTGTCCGGCAACGGATCGCAACCCTCAGTGCTGCCCCCGCACCGGACCGGGGACCAGCAACGGGATCGCAAACCTCGGTGCTGCTCCCGCGCCTCGCTCAGCCTGTGAGCAGGAACCGGTCTGTATTTGGGATCCGAACCCTCAGGCGGGAGCGCCGCCGCGCTTCCCAAGCGGCACACTATCCAGTGCGCCACCGGGCCAGCCCTAACCTTTAACTCTTGAAGTAGCTCCTCGATTCATAACTTCTCTTCTTATCCCCCATTTTAATTGTAGTCCATTCTTAGTAATTACAGGATCATCGTGTCCTAAACAGTGCTGTAGAAATAATAAAACTTACTGCTCCTCTCTGGACAGTAATTACTGCTTAATTTTATCCTATTCAAAATAACATTTCTTCAGAATTCTTCTGAGAAAAAAAAATCCTCTACCAATCACCCGTTTAGCATGATATTTATTTTGCTTCTGACTTTGATGCCTCAAAAGTAAAAGCAATGTAAAATCAATAAAGCCACAGGTCTACAGGTGACAGTGTTCAAACTAATGCTGTCTATTACAGTCACTTAGGGAACCTCTTTTATGACTAAGATCTACAAACAGTGTTGGAAATGTCCTAAGGGAAAAGTACTATGCAATTAATTGGGTTTGTTGGAATTTCTACCTCTAAATTGTCTTGTAGTCAAAGATTCCTTAGAGATGTACAGCCAAATGAGAGACATACCAAGTCCATCTTGAAGCTTTAGGAAACAATAAATTTACATTGGAAAATACAGCAATTTCTAGTTGTTTAACACTACCAAAATGTCTTCTAAAAATTGATGCTTATAAAACTATTTAGTGGTATTCATTATTATTCTTTCATCCATTCAGAAAATATGTTTAGAGAACCTGCCAGGCACAGTTGTACACGTCGGAGGAAAAAAAAGACTAGAAGATTTAATTTTGCTGTCATGAAGCATATTAGAAGAGGCAAACAGGTAACGATATCAGACAGTGATAAATTATGGTAAGGTGTAATAGGACAGTAAGACAAGAAGTGTTCACAGTGACTGCTTTAGGTCAAGTAACCAGGAGACAAAGGCCAAGATATATGTGAACTTTGAGGAACAGAAGGATGCATATATCTGAACCCCAGTAATGGAGGAGTGAAGGACAGAATGAGAAAGGAGAAACGGGCCTCATAGTTGAGTTTGTACTTTATTCTAATTGCAGTGGGGACTATAGGAGGGTTTTGAAAGAAGAGCAATTAAGGTGAATAGAAACAGATCTGATTTTCAATGCTAGAAATATCACTGCTGTCAAGAGCATGAACTGCAGGAGGCAAAAGGTGAGAATGGAGAACGGTTAGAGCAGTAGTCTCAGACCAGGTGGGCCACCCTTGGGGGCAGTCATTCTAAAGGGTACTCTGTGGCATGGATTGTTTTAAGGGAATACAACTCCTCAACTTCCACATGTACTCTTTTCTTGTCTAAAATTGGTCTTCATAAAAATACTCTATGCACATTCTATTTTCTCACATCTTCTTTCACAATTTACAAAGGAAAGGTTTACCTCCTATCCATCCAGAATCTACTATGATACATTGCCGTGGTAAAACCCTCTAGGACACCAAACCAAAGAGCAATTAGAAATACTGGTTTTGGTTCCAAAACAGTGAATCACTCTAGTTATGAAATAAATTATTTTCTAAATCAGGTGATTTCCAATTCTTTAACAAGACTGTTAAAAATACTTTTAGTAGATCATGATGAGATGGTTGGTAGACAGATCCAATAATTCAGTAATACTGCCATAACAAAACTTCCATCGTCCGGCTGCTATGCACATGAATATTATGCTCAGTGCTTACACATATAAAAACAATAGAAAGAGTGGATTTTGAATCTTATGTAATTTATAATATTTTGTAAAATTTATTATATGTTTTTTAATCAACTGTTACTAATAAGAATCCCCCCTAAATTTTAACTTGTGGAGTCTTATCACAAGAGGGTTTTTTTCTTAATTTGTTTTTTTCTTTTTGCTTTTTATTGCTGTTTAGTATTGCATTAAGGGAATATATTATAATTTATTTATCCATTAGCTATTTAAGGAATTTTGAGTTATTTCTAGTCTTTAGTATTTCAGGTAAAGTTTCTATAAACATTCACTTACAAGTATTTTTGTGGATGTATGTTTTTATTTCCCTCCTATAAATATTTAGGAGTGGAATTGCTGTGTCATATATTAGGTGTATGTTTAACTTCACAAGAAGCTGCCAAACTGTGTTGACTGAAAGGTTTACACTCTCACTAGCAATATATTAAAGTTCTTGTTGCACCACATCCTCACTGATACTTAATATTTTCAGAAGTTTTAATTTTAGCCATTCTTATAGTAATGTGGTAGTGTCTAATTATTGTTTTAATCTGAATTTCCTTGATGACTACTGATATTGAGGATCTCTTCATATGGCCATTCGTATATTTTATTCTGTGCAGTATATGTTGAAATTCTTCGCCATTTTTTAAATGAGGATTTTTTCTATTATTGAGTTGTGAGATTCTTTATAAATTTTGGATATTTGTTCTAGCAAGCAATTAATTTAGTTGTGGGTCAGTTTTGTAATTTTTAGACATTAATCTGAGCAAAAATTTTCTGGAGAAGACTCCTAAAACACCAGCAACAAAAACAAAAATAGGCAAATGTGATGACATCAAGCTAAAAACTTCTACACAGCAAAGGAAGGAATCAACAGAGTTAGGAGGCAACCAACAGAATGGAAAAAAAAAATTGCGAGCTATTCATCTGACAAGAGATTAACAAGGAGCTAAAACAACTCAACAGAAATAAAAATAAAAGAAACCAGACAAATAATTAATAATTCGAATAAAAATGGGCAAATGACCTGAATAGACATTTTTCAGAAAAAGACACACAAATGGCCAAAAAGTACAAGAAAAAATATTCAACACTAATTATCAGGGAAACACAAATTAAAATCACAGTGAGATATCATCTCATTCCAGTTAGAATGGGAATTATCAAAAAGACAATAAAATAATAAATGCTGGTGATGATACAGAGAAAAAAAATCATTTAGTGATTGAATGTATGTGAGTTTGGAATATTTTTATGCCAGTTACTCCAATGTGATTACAGTACAATATTCTGGGTACTCAATGTGAGAACAGGTTGTTTTCTCTCTATAAGATAGCAGCATCCTGTTGGTACTT